GTATTACTTGATTGATATGCAACCTCTTGCAGAGAAAGAGCTTTGAAAAACGTGTTTTTTAGCCTAAAATTTTGCCTTTTTAGATATTAAGCTTCCCAAAATGTGGACGGGAGTGACATTTTTGCCTTATAAGGGAACATCGAACAGTTGTTAGCTCCTTCAAATCAAAAACTGGCATATAATACTGCCTTGGTCCCACTCTCGTCTATTCCGAGAAAACGTCTTTTCCTCAACAGTTTTTCGAAGCTCTTTTTTGTGCAAAAGGAACTGTAATCATGACGAATTTGTGAATATTCCTCTTTAGTTGATAAAATAAATGGTACATAGAACACGTGCTCATAGCAACGTTTAACGTTTGTGGAATTTAATTTTCTTTTCATTCTCTCGCAATAAGCTGGTTTCATAAGTATCTCAAGTAGGTCTGAATGTCTTTAGGATCGTCATATTTAAAATTCTTTTATTGCTTGGTTTCATACATGATAAAAATACTGATCAACGTAGTGCTAAAATTATGTAATTCATCTCTCAGAGAGGAAGTTAAGCTTACCTTCACTGGCGCATGCAACATTAGTGCTCGCAAATGTCCTGTCTCATTTTTTAACTGCTCCAACTCCGCTCGAAGTTTAATATTTTCTTGCTCGAGTGTTGCTGCACGACATGCCATGTCGTCTTCCTCAACGGAGAGGTAAATCATATTTTCAACGTTTTTTTGACTTTTAGGTCGTACAATAGGTCATTTGAGGGATTTAATTTATGAAATAAATTTTATAGAAGCAAGCGCTGTGAATTCAGGCGAATGATGTGTTAATAATCTCATAAAAAAGCACAAACTTTCTGCCGTCGGCTGTCTCGGCTTTTTTTCGCTGCATCGTTATTCTTCCGTCGCCGCTCCCAATACGCACTGTCTTTAACGAGTTCCTGAGTGAGAGTGATCACAAAAAGCTCATAAAGATATTGAAAACTTCTTTAAGATTTTAATTTATTCTATACTAGGATTCAAAAGAAAATATGTGCTTAAGCTAAGAGCCAAAATTTTTATGAATAGCTGAGATAATTAGAGCAAAAGCACCGTTTCCGCATGTGTTGCTGACACACACGACCCTCTGTCTGCTGACCGACACCGCCCTGGGATAATCTACACAAATAATTCCTTTTTTTCGAGAAATCGACTATTATTACGAACTTTTTTCCTCTTAGAATGATTCTTTACAATGACATTGTGACGAGGAGCGGCCGGTGATACCGTAGAATCGCTGTCCGATCGGGAAGAGGATACCTACAAAATTAAGAGAAATTACTCAACCTCAAGTAATTATGGGTTTTGATATAAAATTTAGGATGTCAATAGAAACAAAAGCCTAGAGAAAGAGAAATGCGGTATACATATTTTATGATAACCGGCAGCAATCGTGAGCGCCTAGCTGGCGCGAGATTACTGTGCCAGTCACGAACTTGCTACTAATGGACATGGGTAGGATTACGATAACATTATAATTACACTACTAGTTTTTTGCAAAGTTCTGACCCAAAAATTATGCAAACTTTTTTCATATTGAGAGTCTCTGTAAAATCAACTGTTCTGTTTACTGGGAGAGTTGTAAAAAGGTTTTTATTTAAGCTGTTTTTATTTATATTATTTATTTATTTAGTATTTATTTATTATTTTTGTTTATTTACTTATTGTTTAGTTATCAGGCAAAATTAGAATCACACTTACCTGTGGTGGTGCACTTTCATTATTGTTGCTTTCTGTCTGATTAAACTTCCCAGATTCGCCAGGATCGATTGACTGGAACGTTGCAGATAGGAAAAAAAACTAAGCTTTTATCAATTTTGAAGAAATTTGTTTGGTTAAGTTGTGGGAGAGGGTACTTCGCTGCAGTAAGATAAGTATTTAATTCACAACCCCAGTCGTGGATAGAAAGCCAACCAAACCCTCCACCACTCTTATGGAAAGATAGCTTGGTACTCTGGGAGGATAAAACCACTTAGTTTAACTTTGGCTCGGCTAGCTCTTACCCCTCTTTTCGAAAGCCCCTGACGGTTCGGCGTTCTATTACCTCTACAGTGTAGATGAAATTGAATGCGCAGTGCCTGAGGTAGAGATCGGGCAACATTTAGATAGGAGTTTACTTGGAATATCTTTACATCCCTCAAAAGCAAACGATAAAAAAAATTATTCTAACCTTTTTAGAAGTTCACTAAATAGAAGGATGCAAATCCCTATCGATAGCGTGTCCTCACGGTAGACGAAAATTATATTTTTTGCAGTTTAAAGGGAGAGTAAGTGTAGCACGCTTTCTAGGATACAAGCTTTACCGCGTGTATGCTAGTTTGAGACGCCTATGCTCTCCCCAATGATTCGCGCTTTTTGAGCACATATGCAAAAGCGCTCAGCTTCCTTGTAAGTATATAGAAAATTTTCTTTATCAATGTCAATTTTTAAAGCAGTTTTTGTTTCAATAAAAAACAAAGTGTTTTGTAATCTACCAACTTCAACCATAACAAAGCGTAATCAGCGCTTTAATAATTAGAATCATATAAAGATTTCCCCTTCACAATGGGCAGCGAAAGTTCTTTGCACCCGTAATGCCCCCCGTACTTTCACCCTCGCAACCGTGACCATTTCGACTCAAAGTGAAGCGTTCGACATTACATGCATGACGGCGAATTTGCGAATTTGACCTGGATTCCGTTCGTTGGTGGTGAAAGTGTCGCCGTCATCGCTGTCGTCGTCCGAAATCGAAATGCACCCTCGTCCACGAACGAAAGCGACGACAACGCGGCGATGACGGACGAGAACATGATTGTTCAAAAACGGCGCAGCAAGAAAAACCGACAAAGCATGAAATGCGAAGTGAAATTTCGTCGGCGCCACGCCAAATACGGTAACGTTAAAAGGGGCGGAGGGCAATGTAAGGGGAGCGTAAGGAAAGAGTGAAAAAGTTGCAGGTCTTAGACATTACTAAAGGAACAAGCCTCAACTTACAAGATACTTTGAATTCGAATTCTGCATATCGACGATGGACGACAACAATGCTGGATGTATAACGGGCAATGATAGTAGCGGTGGTGTGAAGCCGTACGCTGACAAATCGAGTGGAAGCGTCTGAAGAAGAGCATTATAGACGTTGTACCTATTGTAGAATTAACATATAACAAGAAACAAATGTTGGACTTTCGCTCAGCTCATACTATTTGACATTCATCTTATAGAACTTATACCTTTGTTATTAATCAAATAAATCTTTCTATGCAAGAGGATCAACTTGACGGAAAAGTTTTTTTTACTGTGCATATATTCGCTTCGCTTTGAAAATTGTTAATTCGTTAAATCAAAGGTTTACGACGAATTTTAGACAATTCCATCGGTAAAGACTACTGGAGCAGTGTAATCATGAAGAATAAAATAGGATTAATACTTCTGACCCATCGGTGAAAAGGTAAGCTTTATAGTTTTATGCCTGCAGTTGTGCCTCATTGTTCTCAGACTTACTGTTCAAATCTAATTAAGAATTACATCAAATTTATTCATCTCATATTATAATAGAGCTCGTTGGTAGAAGTGTTGCTACTACAAAGTTGCAAATATGGAAGGAAGAAAGATCATAGAATGGCGAAATGAGTGAACGGGAAGAAATTTTAGATAAATGACTGAGCGAATGAGTAAATGGGCGAATGACTAAGCGAATGAAGATTATTCAGTGATTAAATGGATAAATGAACAAATGAATGAGTGAATTCAAAGACTAATGAATGAATTGAATGGAATGAATATGGGCAAATGGATGAGTGAGTGATTGAATGAATGAGTGACTGAATGAA